TGAAAATATGAAAAGATTTGGTTGAATTCTTATAGCAGTAGAGCTTTATACTTCTGACCATTTTTTTAGGTGATTTTTGGTCATTTTTGCAAAAAAACAAGGAGGGGTGGTGAAATCCCCCCAGTTTGACCAAATTTCCTTAAACGTAGACTGAAGTAGTTTTGGGTGGACCCCTTCAACCTGGCTAAGTTTCACTGAAATCGATGAGATGGCTTGTGCCACCCTTGCCTGGTCCTATCGTGGATGCACTCTTAAAGTATAAAATCCATCATCCATCCAGCAGCACCTTCAGCACCAGGTTTTGAAAAGAAATAGAAATCAGAAAATGTCACTGAAGAAAATCTCAGACTTTCCTGTACAGAAGTTGGCTACATTTGCACACTCCAAGTAAAAACAAATTCAATTCAATTCAATTCAAGTTTATTTGTATAGCGGATATTTACAAAAACAAGTCATCTCATAGCGCTTCACAAAGGCAGAGACAGAAACACCCAACAATCCAAAACATTTGGATTCCCTATAAGCTTCANTGCTTGTCTATAATTTTCTTTCTAATCTCCTGAGACAACTCTCTCCTTTGCTTGCCATGTTTAGTGTGGTACACACCATGTCACCAAACAGCACAGTGACTACTTGTAATCCTATAAGTAGGCCGACTGACTGATTACAAGTTTGTAGACACCTGTGACGCTAACTAGAGGACACACCTTGTTTGAACATGTCCCTATCGTCACATTATTTTCAGTCTTTTCTAGGGGTACCATCATTTTTGTCCAGGCCTGTTTCATGAGTTTAAAAAAAAAAAAATTCTGTTGAACCACAGTTCAAAAGCAATGTCTGATTTTCATTGGTTAATTTTCATAGAATTTTTATTTATCATTACTTTGGTCAGAGTCATTTCTGTGACCATTGTGGGGTTTTCTGTCATTAACCGAGGGGTACAAACAATTTTGTCCATGTGTATATACTATAATTGCTTGCAACTTTGTTTAAATAGTATGGGAAAGACTTCAAGATGTGATCGTCCCCATACACAAAGCCAGGTCCAGCTTAAATGTGGAAGAACAGAGCCCTGACCTCAACCACATTCAGCACCTCAGGGAGCAACCAGAGCTCTAAAAGTCAGGCTTCATCACTGAGCATCAGTTTTGGATCTCACTAATAATCAGGGTTTGATCAAAGCGTTTTTGCCTTTTGTCAAGCTGTATAAATAAGCAGTATCTTAGTCTGCTTAGTCAGTAGGCAGACTCTGGTTTGGAATGTCAGAGGTAGAAGGTTAGGTGATACACAAAAGAGTTTGATAAGAGTTTGTTAAAATATTGCGTTTGATTAGGTTTGGTGAACTCAGAAACCTGTTTTAATTGTTCCTCAGGAAATCTGCCTTAATTTGTATTTTTTTTTTGTTTCTGTCACAGAATGCCAGCAGCTGATTGGCTGGTGTCTGAGCCAGCAGCCCACCGACCGGCCAACATTAGAACAGATCCTCCTCCATCCCTGGGTGACAGACAGTAATGGTCAGCAAACTGATGGCGGCAGCATCACGCTTCATGCTATTACAGCTGAGTCCTCCTCTTCCTCCGGTCAGCAGGGCCTTTGATTGGTCAAGGGGGCGAGGCTTGGACTTAATTGATAGCTGCCCCCTGGTTGCTTTGTGTTGAGATGTGGTCAGAGCTCAGGAGTGAGGCTGGACCCTCCCGCTCACAGAAGATGTGCTGCTCTCAGTGCCTTGTGTTGGGAAACTGCAATGTGTCACCACGGTAATCAGCGTTCAGCAAAAAACTGACTGCAAACGTCTGACGGAGTAGAAAGTTTTTCAGAGGTGCAGCCAGATTCATTTCTAAAATATATTTATACATATATATATATATTTTTTTTTTACAATGTATTTGTGTTTTACAGCTTCATTTCTGTGATGTGGGGCCACATTAGTACAGCGGACCTCTATAATCATCATGGTGGGCTCAATGAACAGTTCTAATTGTTACTCGTCTGTTAAAGAGTAACTCTTTAGTTGTTTTGCGTTCAAAGAAAAAAGCAGTGGCTGATTCATTTTATTATGATTTTATGATTTGATGTATCTTTTGATTACAGGACCTGGGAATTAGACTTTTTTTTTTTTTCCCCCCTGGTCTGCAGTCAGTTAGAAACCATTTAAAAGGAAATTGCTTACAACCAACAGTTAACACACAAAACTCTGCAGCTAGAAAGAGATGGGGGCTGAAGAAGCAACTTATTTTACCCACCATTTTACAGAACATGGTCTATTTGACATCAAGAAAAAGACAGCATCCTATAGTGTATTCTTGTAATCATGCAAAAATTCTCTCCTTGTTATTAGCGGACAAAATTATGAAGACACCATTTTTTTATTAGTATTCCAACATTGCAGAGTCCAGATTTCTTTGATGTTGTTGAGGCAGAAATCACTTCAACCTGGTTTTATTTGGTTGGCTGACACTGTTGGTCTGTCAGATATAATCTGTGTGATGTAGGTCCCAGAATCTGATGGCTTGCAGAGCTCAGTGATGGTACAGTGATAATAGTGTAGAGTGCAGTGTACGATGTCAGAAAACGGTGAAAAATGTCCATCCTGTTTCATAGACCCATCCTCATATCAGGGCCACAACTGATGGTCACTTCCATCGTCCAAAAATCTACCAATTGTTTTCTTGATTATTCAATTCGTTGTTCGATCTGTAAAATATCAGAAAACTCTGACTTGTTTTGGTATTCAGTTTGCTGGCATAGACAAGGAAAGAAACCAGAAAGCAATCACATTTAAGAGGCTGAAATCAGAAATGACTTTTTTATTTTTTTCCCCCTAAAACTGCTCAAATCAATTAGTAGTTATAGCTCTTCTTCACATGCCTTGTTTACCCACCAACAGTCCAATACCCAAAGATATTCAGTTTACAGTTACAGGAAACAGCTGCTGGAAACTCTACCTGAGCATTTTTTCTGTCCTCTGAGTTGCCCTCCAAGACACACCCCACCCTACCCATCATGTCAGCCCTGAGTCCCCTGCTGATGTGACAGAATACTGGAACCAAATTTACCAACATACCTGCATCTCTGTAGAGGTGGGACTGGTTTAGGACACACGAAACATGACTTCTTAATACTTAACTCTGCTGAGTATAAATGTTTACTTCATGTAGCAAACGTCTTGTCCTTTTAATGTTGACTTCTGTGTCTACAGTTGAGGTTTATCAAGATACTTGTCTTTTTTTCTTTTTTTTTTAGTTGATTGGTATCCTTTTTCAAGCAGAGCTGGCTTTTTGGTTTAACATATTGATGCCACATTACGGTACACGCTTTTTTTTTTTTATTATAGTTGACTCCATTAGTTTTCTGTCAGTTCTCAAAAGGTTCTGAGGTTCTATGACCAGTCCCATGTCTCTTGCTTTTATTTCCATTGTCACGAAATTCCCTCAGTCAGCTGTGTCCTCATCAGTTAGATTTTTTTTGTTGAGGTGTGAAATGCACAGTCAATGCAAATATTCAGTTTTGTATTTTGAATATACAGTATTTGTTTTGTTGTTTGTACGTACATGGATTTTGTACATTTATATTTATTTAGTAATGAGGCATTCCTTATCCTGTGGTTATTTATTAATTATCTTGTTAACTAGTTTACTTTTTTTTTCAAGTTGAAAACAAGATTTTTTTATTTTTTTTTAAAAAGTATTTTAATTTTTCTTTACCCAGGGATTAATACTTTTAACACATTTTCAATCCTTCTTGCATTTGTTACAGTTTTTGTGTTTTGAAATGTAAAATTCTGACAGGGACAAAGGTATTTTTTCATGACAATGTTTCAGAATAAAATGTTTGTATATAAAAGATTTTTGAGTGAGGGGTTGCATTCTTTCAGACTACTTTTCTCTATCAACCTCACAGCTTCAGATTTGGATTAATTTCTCCATGGATACTGGCAAATTTCTTCAAAATCAGTTCTGAGTAGCTGGTTGATTGATCATAAATATTTCAGATTTTCATTCGCTACATTAATTTAAAAAAAAAAAAAAAAAGCTGTTGAGAAACAGTAACCATTCACATTTTCCAAACCAATTATTTCAGGGTTTGTTTGTTTTTTCCTGGAGCTGGAGGAAAAAGCAGGTACTAGAAATTACCAAATGACGGTAAGCAATCAGTTTTCCTACAGCAAATTTTGGATACATTTATAGTAGTGTTTTACAATCACTAATTGATCCTGTAGAATGTAGTCCATGTTAGTAACTCTTTTTTTTGTTTGTTTTATTTTTTGTTTTTATTAAAGATGCAACTTTAAATTTTTGGTCACAATGTTGGTGGGGCAGTGGTTAGTACTGTTGCTTCACTGCTAGGAGGTCCTGAGTTCAAATCTCGGCCTGCTGAGAGTAATTGGTGATTCTAAATAGTGAATGTTAGTTTGTTTCGTCGTTTGTCTCTTTGGCCTTATGATAGACTGGTGACCTGTCCAGGTGACCCCCGCTACCCTACAGATGATGAGTGATGCAATTGTCCTCTGGCTGGTTCATGATGTGTCAACAGCAGACAACTGGCTATGAGACTGCGGGGTTAGTTTTGGTATTTGTTCTTTTTCAGTTTAAGCTATTTAGTTTTTTTTTCATCTGTAGTTTTTGCAGTTAAAAATAATAGCACAATTTTCTTCTGTTCATCTCTTATACAGAAAAAAAGTGTCTCATTACTTGAACGCAGCGATTGAAAATAATATTTTCTGCAATGTTCCTTTACGACATCAGCTAACTATTTCTATAGCATGTGGTTTTAATGTACCTGCAGCGCCATCGTGTGGCCGCTACTGAGAAACACAGCTCAAAGAAATGCTAAACAGAACAAAATTAATTAAACATATAAATATATTAATCAATTACGACTAAAGTGAAAAGTCAACGAATCGCTTCTTAATTTCTATTTTGTCGCGAGCATTATTGCAAAAGGTTAGTCTTTTTTTTTTTTTTTTTACGCTTGACTCATTTTGAACAGGCGCTATCGACACCAGGGGTCCTTTCGTCGTCAACATCGGAACAACACGTGAAGAGTGAGCAATTATATATATATCTATATCTCTATAAAAGACTCTTAAATTATGTTTAAATTCGATATAGTGTCATTTTGTATGATTAATAAACCCAGAGACATACACTGAGGCAACGTAAGGTAACACGCTCAGACAGCCAATAAATCTGTCGGCTCGATACGCTGGACGCCAAACTCCATTTGAAAAGTAAATTAGACAAGGGACTTTAAATGGTAGTGTTCTTTGAATTATAACTAAATACATTTTTAGGTTCAACATCAGACGCTTTTTAGTTCGGCTGACACAAAATAAACCAAACATTATCCATTTTTGTAAAATCCTGACTCGAGGACTTGTTTTACTCTGATGTATTTTGTTTATGGTGACAGTGAAACAGATGATGCTTTGAAGATATTTGGTGTTGTTGGACTCAGTGTTTGTATTTAACGAGATATTTAAAAAAAACATTGAATAAAAGGTTGTCAAAGAAAAAAATTACATTACAAATGATAGTGTGCAGGGATCATTTGTCAGTAGCCACGATTTTAGCTTATCATTGTTGATAATGAAACTTTGTACACTCTCATTTACAAGTACAACTAGGATTTGTCACCCAGACAACAAGCTACTGCTGGAAGGAGATAGAAGAGTACAAATATGGCTGATTTCTTTCTGTTTCTCTGTGTGTTTTCTTTGAGCAGTTAGGATGGGTCGCTCCTCCAAAGACAAGCGGGACATTTACTATCGTTTGGCCAAAGAGGAGGGCTGGAGAGCGAGGAGCGCCTTCAAGCTGCTGCAGCTCGATCAAGAGTTCAACCTGTTCACAGGTGAGAACCACAGGACACCAGAGACACAGATCATTTCTTTAATTGTTTAGTATATAAAATGCCCAAAACACAATGAAACTATGCACAACACACATTCACTGATTTGTCTTCAAATGTCTTGTTTTGCTGTTCAGTAGTTCCAAACCCCTAATGATTTACTTTACTATTGTACATAACAAAGATAAACCAGAGACTGCAGAATTATTCACTTTTTCTGTTTGAAAAGTGATAAAAATGACCAGTTGTTGATCAAAATAGTGCGTATAATTTCTCTGTTACCAGTTGTCTCATAATAAAGTTATATTTATTTTTCTCTCTCAGGTGTGAACAGAGCTGTGGATCTTTGTGCAGCTCCTGGCAGCTGGAGTCAGGTCCTCAGTCGAAAACTTAGGTCACCTCCAACTCATTTGTTATTTTTAATTGTTCTTTTTTTAGTTTATGAGGTTGTACTCAGCTGAACAGAAATCCTCAACATTGACTGCAATTTATAACATTTTTATTGAACTGTAAAATCTAACATTTTAAATCCAAAGTGAAGTAAATAAAAGGATTATTAGTATTCATTGGTTTTGTCTTTTCCTACTCAGAGGGCAGGAGGAGAAAGGTGAGAAAGGTGAGGCAGGTGAGGAGGTGAAGATCGTGGCCGTGGACCTGCAGGCCATGGCTCCTCTCCCAGGAGTCACTCAGATCCAGGGAGACATCACCAAGGTGGGGACATGCTTTCACTGTTTTTCAGTCTGGCACATCTTGCAATAATGTGTCTATTGTGCCTTTATGTGTCCGGCTAACTTTGAGATTGCAGGAAATCAGGAATTGTACAAAATTATGTAGACCGGAGTAAAAAGCATGAGCACCCTGCAGCTCACTAGAAAAAAATAGATTTTTATAAAAATCTGTTTGAATGTAGATTTTCAGTGTGACTGGATGTAAATACAAAATCAGCTCTCATTGCATTAGGGATCTTCATCTGCACATGGAATTGTTTACGTATAAGAGGTGTTGAAGAAATTTTACTCATAGTCCTCATGTGAAGTTTGCTGTATTGGGTGTTTGTTAGTATTCCGGTATACGGTGGGCTCACCAACACAGAGCATGAGTCTGTGGGACTCAGGGGAAACACAGAGTTAGTGACATGTAATGGTGGTTATAACTGTATGGAAGGAAGAGAGAAGAGAGGAGAGGAGCTCAGTACATCATTAGAATCCCTCAGCAGTCTAATGCTATAGCAGCATAAGTAAGGGACAGTTCAGGTGATCCTGAGCAGCCCAACTATAAGCTTTATCAAAGAGGAACGTTTTAAGCATAACCTTAAAAGTAGAGAGGGTGTCTGCCTCCCGAAACCAAACTGGGAGCTGATTCCATAAGACAGGAGCCTGATAATGGAAGGCTCTGCCTCCCATTCTACTTCTGGAAACTCTAGGAACCACAAGTAGATCTGCAGTCTGACAGCTAGTTAGGATGATACGGTACGATAAGGTTTTTAAGGTAAAATGGAGCTGGTCATTGAAAGTTTTATATGTTAAAAGCAGGATTTAAAATTCTATCCTGGATTTTATAGGGAGCCAATGAAGAGAAGCTAATATGGGAGAAATGTGATCTCTCCTACTGGTTCCTGTCAGAACCCTGGCTGCAGCATTTTGGATCAGCTGGAGGTTTTTACCAGAGTTATTGGGACATCCTGATAATAAGGAAATACAATAGTCCAGTCTAGAAGTTATAAATGCATGGACTAGTTTCTCTGCATCACTCTGAGACAGGGTGTTCCTGATTTTTACAATATTACGTAAATGAAAAAAGCCTGTCCTACAAACTTAATATACATATATTGTATTTGTAACCCACAACCAATACACACTAGGATGTTGTTCTGTACACTTCAATCCTCTATGATGAAAGAAACAAAAATCACAAGGGCAGCTGAGAGAGAAAGATGCATTAAACCATTAAATGCATATTAGACAACTTACTTGGTTGGCAGCCTCATGCATGTTCACAAACTGATGTGCTCAGATGAATATACAGGGTGATACAGTCAGCTGGCATGTTGCCCTGGATGTAGATCCCTAATTAAGAACATACAACTTTTGATGAGAGTTGACAACTGCGGGGAGATTACGTGGGTTCCTCAGACATATGCCGTTCACATGCTGTTGTGTGTGATTCCTCATTTGCCTAAATCTACACAACTGAGCTTAAGAGGTCAAAGTTAACATTACACAGAGTTGCAATAAACACAGTAATGAGAAGCATGTTAAAGTCCATCTGAATTATCCTTTTAGAAAAATCTAGTAACCTTGGAAAGATTCCTGTGGTCCTTGTGGAAGTTCTGTAAAATCGAATGACATATACTGATGAATACCCAAAACAGATTTCAAAGATCCTTAAATTTCCTGAACTTTTTTACTTAGTTTGTAAGTTGGTACAGATCATTTGTCATCAGAAAGGACCAGAATCAGTTTGAAGTTCATACAAGTGACTTAAAGCTTTTACAGAAATGTATTGCAAAAAAATAAAAAGTAAAACATGAATTGCCAATTCAGCTATCATTGATTGAAATAAAAACTTTACAAAAATCCTGATCCTTTATTAAATATTACAGTTTGTCAGTAAGTTCTTTAAACTCTGCTTTCGTAATGCTGCCATTTGACACTGGTAAGAATGGTTGAAAATATTTTACAGATTTATTTATTTTTTATATTTTGGTGCAAATACTAACTGAATTGTTTCATCAAGAAAAATAGAGCAACAATGAAAACTCAAAAACTATGGAGTGCTGGATGCCATTTTGGATCCCTCGCTGGTTTGTTTGGGCCTCAGCAGGGACCTGGATTTACAGTAAACATGAAAAAAAGTCAGTAACAACAGTAACTCTACTTCTTCCTCACCCAGCTGCTGACTTTATGCTCTTCCAGACAGAACACAAACCTGAGCCACCATACCAAAAACTCACTGTGTGTCACATGACCTACATCATCTTCTTCTTCCTCTCAGGTGTCTACAGCTCAGGAGATAATTCGCCACTTTGAGGGTCAACCAGCCGACCTCGTGGTTTGTGACGGAGCTCCAGATGGTGAGAAGCTCACTTCTTGTCTGTCCTTCCTTGTTGTTAAGTCTCCATTGTCTCCTAAATTATCTTTCCTGCTCTGTTTCCATAGTAACCGGGCTCCATGATGTGGATGAGTACATCCAGGCTCAGCTCCTATTGGCAGTGAGTACAGATAGGTTTCTGTGTTTACCTGTCAGGTGTCACATGATGTAGTACTGTTTGTGTCTCAGGCTCTGAACATCACCACTCATGTCCTGAAACCTGGAGGAACATTTGTGGCCAAGGTGAGTCCAGCTTTTCTTCACTGGACTATTTTTTTATTGTGAATAGTATTCACGTGTACACATTTTCCAATGTCATTAGGTTTTCAACACACAATCCTGTCCCTAGGTCCAATGAAGATCATTAGGTATAAACTCCCCATGTCTACCAGAAGCACTGTGACAGGAAGCAGTACACATTGGTGGAACAAAGTACCAATACGTGACTGTGAAAGCCATGCATTGATGATTGCTAATGCCGATACATCGATATATAAGCAGCATGTTAATGTATGTGGTGCAATCATGCTTGTTGTTTTCTTCCACACTGATGTGGTTGTGCACCGTGAATTACTCCCCTGTGGTCGGACTCTGTCATGAGAATCATGTTTGCCACAAACAACCAAAGTTGTGGCATGTGTATGCTCCAGGCACACAGGTTTTTTTTTTTTTGGCCACAACAACACAGTCGCTGCTCTCCTTCTGCCCTACTCACAGCTCTGGCTCCGTCTGACTTCTTCCTCTTCCCCAAAACGAAATTCAAATCTAAGGGTAAGCCTTTTGACAGTTTAGAAGATTGAGCGGTCTTCGCAGATGATGTTTGATATGTTCACATAACAGGACTTCCAGGAATCGTTTCAAGCGTTGCAAAGTGCTGGCAGTGCTGTATCACAACGCAAGGACACCAGTTTGACAGGGATGGTGGCCAAATTTACATTACCTACAGTTTTTGGGAAATTTTGCTCACCGCTTGCAGTAGCTGGTTGAGACGGTGTCTATTTTAACTGCTTTCTAGACCATTTGTTATTTCAGCGCAATAGTTCCCAGATTAGGTGTTGACACCTTCCAGATGGTCGCAAGATATAATGTGATGTTGCAAGATGATTAATGGTAAAAAAAAAAAAAAACAAGTTCTATTATACATGGGGTTCAGAAGCCTTAGAAGATGCTTTTGGTATTCACTCCGCTTCAGATTGAACAAAAATTGTTTCGTTCCAACTGAAAAGCTGATATCAGCTTCATAACTTGAGTGAAAAACTACATCTCTCAGAAATATCTCTTAATTTCAGAATCTCTCAGTATTTGTTTTGCTCCTTTCTGTTTCAATGACAGCAGTGCTCAAGCTGTATGGACTTCACCAGTTTATTCAGACCTGATCATTTATGTTCTCCCAGCATGATGGGACAATGTTCTGAAGATCCTCTTGTCATGTTAGGAATGTTTGACTTTCTCAGTCTTCGAATTCTCCATAAAAGTTCAGTGGGGTTGAGGACAGGTAGCAACTGTGGAGGCAAGCCCATGACAGTCAGCTCTCCTTGGTCTTTGTTGAGGTGTGTTTGGGCTCATTATCCTGCTGCAGTATGAATCCTTGCAAACCAGAGGGTGGAGCATGTCTCTGAAGAATAGAGTGCTGATTCTTCTCAGTTGATTCCCTGCATGTGTCCAACTCCGGAGTAGGAACTATTCATTACTTTTAAACATTGAAATATGAAGCCCTTGAGTATGTCAGCTTTTGCCAACAGTCTTAATATTGGGGAGCAATGACAGGATGATGATTGTTTTGAGAAACACTGTAATCTGTTTTTCCCAGATTAGTTTTTTTCTTTTTGTATTGGTAGTTTCTTCTCTGGATATTGTCCTTGTGACTATTTAAAGTTTCAAGGTGCAGAAATTGTAGGCAATTTGATGCACTCTACTGGTCAGCCCTGTTTTTTTTTAGTTAGAAGAAGTCTTAGTTTACTGAGAATTAATAGCAAATTAGTCCTACTAAAATATTCAAGAGCTAATCCACTTTGTACAGATACATAAGTCATCTAACTAAAGTCTGTCAGATCTAAGCTACAGTCAAAGTCTACCTTTGTGAAATCTTTCTCAGTTTGTCACAGCTAAATTACAGGTTGCATAAGGTCCTACCCATTTAATCTGAACAACAAAATGACCACAGTGTAAATAATATAGCGTGCAGTGGTGCATTGTGGGCTGTGGGCATCCTGTCCCCGGTGAGATTGACGTGTATGAACCCCATGCTGTCCTGCATGTCTCAGATCTTCAGAGGTAAAGATGTGACACTGCTGTACTCTCAGCTGAAGATCTTCTTCAGTGGTGTGACCTGCGCCAAGCCTCGCAGCAGTAGGAACTCCAGCATCGGTAAGTGACCAATCACAGGATGCCGTCAAGAGGATAACCCAACCCCAAAGCCCATGTAGTTGATGCTTGTCCATCTGCTGAAAAAAAAAAAGAAGCAAAGTAATTACAATAATGTTTTTAGACTACTGTATTTGTGTGTTTTTAAAAAAATCTCCAGACAAAAAAAAAAGTGTTTTGTATGTGTTGTCATTTTTGCTACACGTTTCAACATTATTCATGTCCAGACACCATCAAACACAAAGTGTTATCTTTGATTTGAATGATGAATGGCTGCCAGGCCATTAAAAGTTGTTGTTAGAGTCTCTCAAAGTGAATAGAACTTTGTCAGGTTGTGTTTCATCCTCAATTTTGCCACATCAATTCACCTCTTAACTATTTGCATATACTCTGTCGACAAACTACACTGTCTTTCTGTATGCAGAGGCCTTCATGGTCTGTCAGAATTACTCTCCCCCTGAAGATTATTTCCCCAACATGTCCAACCCTCTGCTGGATCACTCCTATGGTAACTATGAGCTCCTTTCCACGTGTGGATCTCTATCTAGATATCAGACCTATATCAGGAAAGATTATAGTCACAGAGCCAGTGGAGGATCCAGATCACATCTAGAACTGCTGGAGACCCACCATGTTTGTTGAGAAGCCAGCTGGGTCGGCCTGACTCATCAGTGTGAGCAGAATGAAGATTCACTGAGCTCCCGTTCTATTAATTTAAACCATTCATATTTTAAAAGTATTGTTACATTTTTCAACTGTAGTAGCCTCTTCGTTGCATATCCTGTCTTTAACGTTAGTAATCTGTATACACATGAGCATCCCCATGCATGAGACGAGCAAACCATGGACTGATTTGCTATTAGAGGTTAAAACTCATTTGATGGTACAAGGCTGAAACAGTAGGTAGATGGAAAGATTTGATGTATGTTGATTCAGTAATATCTATCACACCAACAGTATCTTTTAGAGGTTTGTTAGCATTAGCTAACAACTAATGACACCAGAGCCAGTGAGGCTGTAACAGCAGAGCCTCCAGTCTGCTGCAATGTGTAAAAGTGGTCTGTGTGTTTTATGGAGTGTCTCATTTGTCTTTTCTTCTTTCAAATGTTGCATCGTCTAGATGCAAGTTTTGAATAATCTGGTTTCTGGTCTCTGTCCTTCAGATGTAGATTTTAACCAGTTAGAGGGTCCAAACCGCGTCATCGTTCCCTTCCTGGCGTGTGGTGACCTCAGCGCCTTCGACTCAGACAGAACCTACCCTCTGCAGGTAGCGACCTTTATCCTACCGAGTCAAACTGACCAACCCAAACATGGTTCATATATAAAAACAAGTCCACTTTTTCAATTAATTTAAGGGTATTGTTTGTAGCTACTATTCTATTTCTGGTGTCACTGTATTATTTATTTATTTACATTATGAAATTGTTCTAATTATCCTAATATGCCATGAATAATGATGTTTAACTAGATAATTAATGGACAAATGGTTTGTAAATTATCCAGGCATTTTGGATGGATTATCTGAATCCTGTCATTTTTTAATTAAGAAATTTCTATATTTTAAAATCATTTATACAGTATTTAATTTCAATTTAGGGTAGTTTTGTAAGATAATAGTCAATCTCAATGTCTCTTATGCCCCAAATCAGTGTAACACACCACAAAACACTGTAAAACGATTTATTTGAATGTTCACCCTATATTTTCAGTTGTCAGTCATGATAGATGAACTGATGATATACAGCAAAAAGCTTTACATGCAGCAGGAAAGGAGCAGGAATTAGTAAAGTCCTAATTCAACATGATATTATATTTATCAACAATCCAACCTGTTTGAATGCGGGACCCTGACAGAAACAGAGTTCAGTGTTTATCAAGAGTGGCACACCTGGTTACTGAACCAGTTTGAACCAGACATCACTCTTGATGCCATCATCTACCTGAGAGCCCCACCACAGCACTGTATGCAGCGGTTGCTCCATCAGGGTTGGGCCGAGGAGCAGGACATTCCTCTGAAGTACCTGGAACAATATGACAAAACAGGCAGCAGCGTTGCCGATCTAGTTAATGTGATGAAAACGATGTGAAAATGTATGAATTGATCCACTGCATCCCTCATGCTCATAGTGATTATTCACTTAGCCTTCAACAGCAAAATAAGTTTTAAAAACGTTCAGAGATGTAGCCTGAAACAGTAAACAGTCTCCTTACTGACACCAGGCACCACATGTAGGATGAGCACTGTGGTTACTTCTGTAAGTATGCTGTCATGTCTCAAATGAAGCCATAATGTCAAATCATCAGTCAAAAAAAAACATCACTTTAACCAATTAGGCAAACAATACAAGTATTTTTGTCTGGAAATGAGAATCCCTTATAATGTCATTAAATTGCAGCGAACTAAAAGACAGTTGAAGAAAGTAACCAAGTACATTCACACAAGCACTGTGGCTTAGAGAAACTTGAGGTAGTTGTACTCACTTGATTATTTCCATTTTATGCCACTTGTGTCACATATTGTACTGGACACTACACTACATTTATTTGCCACCTTTACTTTTTAGGTTAAGATTTTTATATATAAAATTTAATATTTTTATGAAATAAAATATGATGCCTTCATTGATTATTTTGCCAAACATCATATAAACATAAAAAAGTTTTTAGGATTAGTCTCACCAGCTAAAATATTAAATATTTCCTAAATATAAATGCCACCCGAAACTGATCATTTCTGGAAAGTCATATACTCTATTCGATTTCTAATAGATTAGTTGAGAAAGGCACTTTTCAAATGACACAACACAATGCAGCGCTATTTCTTCCTTACAACTGACATTAATTAGAAAAGTTTCTTCAAAGATTTTTGGCTACCAGACTAAACACCTTGATGTAGATGATTACAATAATGAGTTGAATATGTTTTAAAGGATCAGTTCAGGATGGATTCATTCTTGTTTCGCTGATGTGTTTAATTATCTCATTGAAATTTTCTTTTACTGTTTCTTGTTTTTCTCGAGCTTGATGCTGGTAAACAGTACCAGTACACCCCCCCCACCCAGCCGCCCATACGCCCACCCTACCAGGAGGCCTGCCACCTTCGCAAAAACAACCTGCTGTCCAGAGAGGACTCTCCATCCGTCTGTCCCAAACAGAGTCAAGATGAGCCGGAGCCATTGACTGAGACCACATGATCCGTCTGACTGTTGCTGATTGGTGGAAAAAGAAAAAAGTTTGGTGGAGAATTATCAAAAAAGAAACATTTTTTTTCCTTCCAGATGATCATTTCTGTGCATCCAGTCCAGCAATTTGTCCAGGGCACATGTAGCTTACCTTAGCAGTGAGGGCCAACTCAAGCTTTCCACATCCACAGGCCGATAAGTGGACTATAAACATGGACATGGCCCTGTTCATACTACAATAAGGCCGCTGGTCTACTGCATGGCTGGTTGTATTTCCACGAATATGGAACCAAGATGTCATGTCAGTGATTATTGCTGAGGTGTGCTGGACACCGTGTGTGAACATAGCACAGGATTTCTGGAGATCTTTCTACTGTGTTTGAGCTCGATGGATAGAAATCATGTACAATCAAAGCTCCTTCAAAGTCCAACAGCAACTACTTTAACCACAACGCTGTTAAAGATGAAATCTAAAGGTGTGGAAGGATGAAATTTTCCTTGCAAATCTGTCTTCATGCCAAAAGTTTTTTTTAAGCACCACTTGTTTTATTGAAACGTGCAGTAGGCATGCTTGTAGTGTGAACCGTGCACAGTGAAGTGTGGATGCAGAAAGCATAGATTGGCCTTACTGGATGCTGCTAAGCTTGGCTAAACATGTCTAGGACCTTTTGCTGTAATGTTTGTCCAAATGGAGGAGTATGTTTTAATTGTTATCTGGTTTTAATTAGAGTACTTTCAGACAAATCTTTTCATTCATCACTTGTGAATTGTGACAGTTACATATTATAGTTTTTTTTTTTAAAAGTCATTTCGTAACAGTAGGCATTGGAGCTTACATTATTTTTATTTTAAGATTGAGTCAACTCTGAATTATGTTTTTCTCTAAATGTAGTTACATTTGACAAAATCTTTTTTGTTGTTTTTGGACCAAAAATGTCACAGAGAAAAAGACACACTTCTAATGTTACAACAGACCTTTCTCATTGACTTTGCTCAACAACTTCAAATCTATTAGTCAACAAACTGAAATGTCCATAATAATAAAACTTTATTGTGATGAAAACAGATAATATCATGTTGGAGCAATGCTACTCACAAGTAATTATTATAATCAGTTTTTTTCCACATCCAAGACATTACCAGGAGATGATGTTTAGTTTGTTGCTTCCACCTGTTTGTAGGAGATAGCGACACACATGGACGCAGTGGCCCCTTCAGGAGACCGCAAGTGTGAAAGTTTTGAGTGTCTTGCCTATCCCAGACGTTCATTCTACAAAACTTACAGCCGGGAGACTTTGCTGAACATCAGGGCAATGAACGTTGCTGCACACTCTCAGGGCCCTGTGTCACCTACCACAATGAATGATTGCCAAAATGCCCGATTTAGTTCTAAAGGATGATTTATCTCAAAATATATTTAGAATTTAAAAGGTTGATCCAAGGACGATTCCACACAAAGTACTATTTCATGTCCAAGTACCTATAATTTTAATTTTTTTCCCATCCAAATAGTGCTTCTTAACCAACAAGTTGAATTTTGAAAGGTTTATTCCAGCCAAAATACTACTTGTTACAGTAATAACTTGGTTGCTGGGACTTGCATTTGGGCAAATGTTGTAATTAACACACTTATTAACAGGTAAAATAATAATGGACTCTGCTGCTGTGGCCTCTGTGGTCTGAAGATGTCAAACAGGACAGTTTGACAGGTTGAAAAGACATGAAACACAAGGACAACTCTGAAGGCAGAATTATGTATTTATTTATTCTATACAATAACATTTAATATAAATAAAAGCAACAACACACGCAAACAAAAGTAAATTGGTCTTTTGACTCCCACCACAGAATCTGTGATGTCACTTCCTCCTGAGAGACACAGAGACAGACATTAACATACACATGTAAATATAACACTGATATATCTGATAAAGATATATAATCTGATAAGCCCAGTTCTGAAGGGAGCAAGATTCCTCCACTTCACTGAGCTAGTAGACAGACAACATTATCACTGCTGGCCTTACAGAAACATTAGGAACACTTAGAAAGGCACATTCACCAACACTGGTGCTCCTTAATATGGGTAATAACACTACTATTAGTAAATAGTTCTAAAAAGGTTTTGAGGGCATTGTGTGACTGGGCTTCCCTCACACTGCGTCAGCTTCGCACTGCTAGACAGCCAGTTAACATGTTCGAGCTATGTTCAATAAACAGGCAAGGCTTGCTTTCCTTGGCATTTACAGTTCTTTTGATAGCTTTCAAACGTCTTTTAAAAAGGCAAATATTTTCCAAGGCAAAAGCATGTATGAGCAATTTAGCGATGCCGTGAAGCTCCGTTGTGCTACTGATAGCCGTTACAAGTCGAACTCTTCACGGGCAATCAAAGATAGTTCAAAATGTATTGGTAAGATGGCTCACTCTACCGCAAATTGAAAAACCAAATACAACGCACAGAGCGCTCACTCTGACAGATTTTCAAAGAACTACAAAAAACAACTTTTTAACTTTTTAATCCTACTTTTTAACTAACTTATTTAACTTATGTTTTTAATCAATTTGCACATATCAACTTCAAAGACAGTACAGTGAATGTAAATAGTACATCCGTTACCCTGACCTTTAGGCCTAGTCCTAGAACTGGACTAAGACATTTAGAATGTTCTGTCCTGGGTTTAATCCGTGTAATGATATAACGTCATACAGACTGTACAGCAGACAGAGGTACAGGAGGACAGAATAATCCTACATCAGCACTGAGCGTTAAAATGCTCAATGTCTCAACATGACAACACAATGACATAATAAGAAGAACTATGAAAACACCTCATGTGGAGGAAAATGTAGTTAGAACTGTTTAACAGTCCATTTTCTCAGCAGACATTTGGACTAGTTCCAGGATGGACGTGTCCAGGTAGCTGACGACTGAGCTCCATAAAGTTCTTCTAAACTCTGACAGAAGCAGCAGCATCACAGCAGGAGCTCTGCGAAGAGGAATGAAGTCAGAGTTATTACACCTCTCCTTTCTCTACTGGGACCAGTTCAGATGGCTGCAGTGAACAACATGACAGTTATTAACAAGATTAGAATGTAAAACAATGACTCTTTGTACAGGTATCAACGCTGAAGGTTATCGCTGCTCCATGGAGCTGACAGTCATCATTTCAACACGCTTCTGTCATCTGATCAAGTTTCATTCATGCTGTCTGGAGTTAATTACCATCATCTCTGAGCTCTGCTGCCCAAATCTCACTATGACTCAGTTTAACAGAAACAAGCTAAACGCTGGTTTTACTGCAGCTTTCATCAGTTAAAACGTGACTGTTTGCAGTTTAATGACGACTTAAAACAAAGTTTTTCTCACAGTTCAGCAAGTTACCAACAGTTCTGCTGTGCAGATGAAGACAGCAGAAATGTTCATAACGTTAAATGATAAAACGATACAAACAAATGTTCATTTGTTTTACGACGTTAAACTAATAAAATGGTTCACAATCAGTACTCACGCCAAGACCGCCCTCCATCACAGCGACAAATGCTACTGCTTTCTTTAGCATCCAAATCGGCAGGTGACACAAACACCAGTGACCTGTCGGTGGGTCCTGAGATCTCTGAACACAGTGCATCTAGGCTGCAGCTAAATTGCGCATTTTGGCGATCATTCATTGTGGTAGGCCCTGAGATACAGCCCTGAGAGTGCAGCCTTGAGAATGCAGCCTCCGAGTCTGCAGACACACCCTTCTCATTACAGGAGCAGGACAGTGAACATTGTCAGGGACTCCTCATACCCTCTCCATAAAATGTTTGAACTGCTGCCATCAGGCAAACGTTTCCGGAGCATTAAAGGAAGAACCTCCAGACTGATCAACAGCTTAATTCCATGAGATGTCAGAATGCTGAATTGCTGATCCAGATCGTAGATAGTGAGGGATTACACAATCCAAGGCTCACCGGCTTCTCTTCCAAGCATTTGAATGCGAAATTGCGAAAATTCTGCGATTTTGAATTAAAAAATCATCAAAATTGGCGAGGCTAAATAGAAAATGAATCCTTTATAGTACAAATCACTGGATAAATATAACCATCTAAATCATTTTATATATTTTTTTCTTTCCATGATGACCACACGTCACTGGTGCACATTGGTGTTTGTGGAACACTGGAACAGTGCTGGTAACCTCAATAAATACTTGTGAATAATCACCAACAGTGAGGTTGTAAAGGTACGTTGCACTGTGTAATTTTCTTCACCTCACACAAGTGAGCTGTCACACAGTGAGTTTATAGGTTGCAGTTGACTCATTTGTTACCATAGACCAGGGTCCCCCAATTAGTTTTCCCTGAGGGCAAAATTATTTCAAGTGTGCCAAGCCAAGGGCCAAAACATGCGTTTTTTTGTGTTGTTGCTGTTTTTTCATTATTATTATTTTTGTGCAAGCTGATTCATGTGCAGATGATGTTATTGCTATTATTAGTCGTAGTACTAGTAGTAGCAGTATCAGCAGCAGCAGTGGTAACAATTTAGGCATGAAACTCTCAAACCCAGAGGCTCACACAAAAAAGAAATTGCGTTGTAAACAAAGAAAGTTCAAAACCAAGCATTTAATTTCCTAAATGCTCTTTTAAAACAATCACATTCCCACCAACACAGTGAAATACATATTTTTTAAAGATCTCAAACCAAATGCATTTACAACTATATCTTCCATGCTCATACAAAGCCCAAACAACAGCACTAACATGGCAGCAGAAAAAGAGCATCCTGAGGCCGAGATAACTGTCAGATTTTCAACAGATTTTCAAAGTCTGACATATCATTCAATATTATTGTATTGTAATTATATTGTTTATTGGTGTAACATCTGCAAAATGTCCAAATAGCTTTCCACCGACACAGCTATTGCATTTCTACAACACATTCATCTCATGAAGTACCAAGTTAGACTGGATGACACCAGAACCAGCAAACAGAACAACAAAGGCAACTTTATCATTATTTACACACAAAGAAAGATTTTTTTGTCACTTTTAAAATATGTGGCAAAATGCATCACATGAGTTACATTTTTATAAATGTGCATATCAGAGCATATCTGGATTTAAATACCAAATAATATTAGTTTTTTGGGGGGCAAAAAAATTGCATAAAACTATTTAGGGCATGAAAAGATGCAACAAAAATGTAATTATAAGTGTTCTTGTTGTTTTATGGACAAAAATAAATGGATGCTCACTTACCAGTCAGTGAGAGAAGTGTCAACACTGGGAGGAGGCAATGCTTCTGATATCAGGCCTGTACTCTGTTGTGGCAATCCTGAGGCACTGATCCAGGTGAGCACTGGACAGTCTGTTTCTGTCCTGGTTTTTGACTGAGTTCATAGCGGAGAATGATGACTCACATGTGTATGTGGAGGGGAACATTGTGAGTAGCAGCATTGCAATAGCCCGGGAGTTTTTGAATCGAGCTTGGGGAACCATGTTGATCCAAAAGTCACTCACCCCAACATCCCTGTGCTGTGCTTTGAGCAAATCAGATGTCCTCATCTCCAAGACTTCCATTTGAAGAGCTGCCTCATCAATGGAAGGCCACAACTTCTTGGCCTCTGCAGTCCAGTGACCATCAGCTGAGACAGAGAATGGCTGTCTAAAGTTTTAACTTTGACCTGAAAGCTTCAAGTGCCTCGTACATGTCCACAACAGTGTGGTTCTTGCCTTGTAGTTGCAGATTAAGGCAATTTAGATGAGACATGATGTCACACAGAAAAAAAACATATTCCATCATCTCATTGTCACTTAAAAACATTTGAAATTCCTGGGCTTTTTGGCTTTGCAGGTTGGATAAAAAGGACGCCAGTTCATCACGCAGGTTGCACACCCTCTCCAACACACGGCCTTTGCTCAGCCAGCGGACATCATTATGCAGCAAGAGATCCTTGTGTTCTGTTGATATTTCATCCAGCATTGCTCTGAAAAGGCGATGTTGCAAACTGGAACTTTCACGAACGAAATGAACAAGTCTTGTAACAGTATCCATCGTATCTTTCATCTTTCCACACAGTTTAGC